CAAGGTACGACCATTTCTAATGAAAAAGATGCAGATATACACTTTCTATTGACTTAAGCTCATTGAAAAAACTCTGCAGCTCAGCTATTAACCAGAACCAAGAGGAGAGGGCACAGCAGGCCAGTCTGAGCTGCTCTGCACTGACGTCCTGTTACATTTAGAATTGATTTTAACCTCCTTCTCCTTGTTCACAAAGCCCTTCATGGGTTGGGACTGAGCTACACTGCTAACTCCCTTGTTAACTATTTGCCTCCAAGAACACTGCGATCATCTGCTGCTGGTTTATTGGAGGTTCCCAGCAACAGCCAGAAGAAGACCAGGGATGCAGCCTTTGTCAGTTACGCCCCAAACTATGGAACACACCACCTGTAGATATCAAGGAAGCTAAAGACGTATCTGTTCACTTTAGCCTTTAAATAGCTCTGACTTTACTGATACAGGTCTGAGACTCTTTCTTTTTATGCTTCACGCTGCTGCAACTCTTTTAAAATCTTACTTGATTTTATGATTTATAATTTTACAACTCTATTATTTTATAAATCACTGTTTCATGTCCATTATGTCTATTTTCATGTGAAGCACCCAGTGCTTATACTGCCCTTCTTGTAAAGCACTTTGTGCTGCATTTCTTGTATGAAAGGTGCTATAGAAATAAAGTGTACTGTTATCAATATTATTAACATGAATACTCATGCAAGAAAAAAAATCTTGAAAACAGTATGGATCCTTTCAAATTAAGTCAATCTTCAATTTCTTTTAAATTCTCCCTCAAATTCTAGCGAGGGCACAGTCAAAACTTAGCAAGAATGAATATTCATAATGGCCATTCAAGTGGCCAGAAAGTCAGCTATATGCAGGTTTAAGAGGTTACCACGTTAACGTCTTTGCTTTTGTTGAATTTGAAATATATCTGTTGTTCTGCATTATACCCTACTATACATACAAGCATGGGCAGCCCTTTGAGAATGTTTTATTAGGCTAACCATTTTCTCTTTTGTTTTATTACTCATAGTTTTAATCTGAATGCTTTTCATGCGCTGTATTCTGTGTGTCCTCTGAAGTTTAAATGTTGGTGTTTAAAATAAGGTATTTCTGGTGTACGCAGAACAGCTCATTTGTGTTATATGTTTTTATTTAACTTGAGAATGAGGACTGTGGATTTTGTCTCCTGTCTTTTACAGTGTAGTTTCATTTGCAAAGGATCACTTCACAACCAGTATGGGGACTGATAAAGATTGCAGTGACCATTAACTCTTTCAACGTTAAGATAGACTTCAGAACAATCCAAATCTCTCCTTTAAACAGTTTGAACTCCACACTGTGTTTTGATATGGTTGCATTTATTAAAGAAACAATAAAACGGTTGCTGGATCATTAATCTGAGAAAAACAAAACAATTCAGATTCAAGATTCAATAGCCCGCCACCATTAACAACAAATAAAAAGTCAGCTCACAGGACAACTTTTAACTGCCTCCCTTCATTTTGCTGGCATCAGATTTTTACGTGTATATTTATTTTTGTGGCAAGCCATTGTTCTAAAGTTCTACCACATAATACACCCAAGTCTGTTCCAATGACCTGCCCTGGGGAAAGAAAGATAGTACTTCTTCATGTTTACTGCTTTTGCATTGAAACTACTTTAACTTCATTTACAGACAATTCCAAAAAATGAAACTAAAGTGGTTTATGCTGAGAGACATTAACATTCAAGCGTAAAGCTGCCACTGTTCTGTCCAGACTGGAAATAACCATAAAGTGCATTAGTCTGACAAATAAACCTGCTATAATATTGATAAATCACAGTGACATTCAACATTAACTGTCTGTTCATGGGATGGAGGTACAATAGAAGAGCTTTGTTTCATGCAGGCTCATGTCAGCAGCCTTACTTTGTAATGTGTAGCATTGCAACCCAATCGCCAGAAAAAAATGTTGGCATTTTACATTTCACAAATGACACATATGTTAGAAAGTATGTTATTATACAGAGGATACGTTGAAACATTTCTAACAACACTGTGGTTAATGTTTGGTTATGTTAAGGCACAAAAAACACTTGATTATGATTAGGAAAAGGTCAGGTTTTGGCCTAAAATACCCATGTCTAGTAGCACACAAGGTGCAGAAAAAGCAGCAACAAGCTTTTGTAAAACATTGATGTTCTGCAGCACAAGAGCGGCTGGAAAAGCGGCAGGGGGTCACTAGAAAACACCCATGTTCAGCGGCACAAAAGCCACTGGAAAAGCGGTGATGAGTTACTTAAAAAACACCCACATTTGCTGCACTCACACAGCTGCTGAAAAAGTGGTGATGAGTTGCCAATAAAACACCCACATTTGACGACATAAGATCAGCTGGAAAAGCGGCAGAGGATCAGGAATAAATAATCTAGTTTGACGGCACAAAAGCAGATGGAAAAGGAGCAAAGGATCTCTAAATACACCCCATTTGGCGACACAAAGGGGGCTGAAAAAGCAGCACAGGTCGCTAATAAATACCCATGTTAGCATCACAAAAGCCACTGGAAAAGCAGTGATGGGTTGCTTAAGAAACACCCACATTTGCTGCATACACACAACTGCCAAAAAAGCAGTGATGGGTTACTATAAAACACCATATTTGGTAGCACAAAAGCCTCAGGAAGAGCAGTGATGGGTGGCTAAAAAAAACCCATGTTTGATGGCACAAGAGTCACTGGAAAACCAGTATTGGTCACTAAAAACACCACATTAAGCGGCACAAAAGCCACTAAAAACATTTACGTTTGATGGCACAAGAGCTGGAAAAGTGGCGAAGCGTCACTAAAAAAATTCCCATAATTGGTGACACAAAAGCTGCTAGAGAAGCGGTCATGGTTTACTAAATAACACCATATTTGGTGGCACAAAAGTAGCTGGAAAAGCAGCCATGGGTTGCTAAGAACAATCCATTCAGCGGCATAAAAGCTGCTGGAAAAGCAGCAACCGGTCATTAAAAATACCCATATTTGGTAGCTTCATACCCCTGGAAAGGCAGTGGCACGTTGCTAAAAACCCATGTTTGGTTGCACAAATGCTGCTGGAAAAGTAGGGATGGGTTGCAGAAATACCCATGTTTGGCTGCCCAAAAGCTCCTGGAAACACTGGTTGCTGCAGCTTGGCAGCCAGCTGGTCTTGGTGCTGAGCTATCCACTGTCCCTGCAACTTCCCGATAACAGAGTCAGCTGATACACTGTGTCACACTGAAACGTTGATATGTTACATGTGAAACCTACTAATGTAACATATCCATGGTTTGGAGAAAAGTACAATACCAACACTTTCTTCTGGTGACTGGACTTAGCATTAATGCAACATGCAAAACAGACTTGTCTATTCATTATTATTCATGATGGCGTCTTTGACAAAATGATTACGTTAGACTTTTTGTTATGTCATGTGACACAAGACTCCATATTTAAAAAAACCTATTATTTTAAAATTCACAGTGTTTCTAATAGGCTACACATAACAAATGCCTCCTGTAAGGTATTCATGTTTCCACAGGTCCATCTTACTGAGTAGTTCTTTTAAATAAGCTCAAACCTGACCATAAACATCGTTAACATCAAGTTACAAGTATGGAGATGCAACAGTGTCTAACGACATCCTAAATGTTGGCATCAAATGTCAAAGCTCATGGTGCAGCAGCTAAACAATGACTTTACTTCACCATGGCACCCACTGCAGCAGATGTTGTTTTAGAAACGTGAGAGAGAAGAGGGCTGGGCTGGGCTGAGCTACTAAGAAGCATTTTTCACAGCTTTGTAACATCAAAGTCAAAATGTTACAAAAAGCCAAAACTAACAAGCCCATAGAAATACAACTGTCATGACCATCAACAATATTTCAACAAGCTTTACAGTTAACCAACAGAAAGGGGCTCACTCTAGTGAAAACAAATAAATACTGTACATTTTCAAATTAAAGAGAGAACCCCGACGCATCATGAAGGCTTAGTGATAAAAATGTTGAGCAGTGTGAAATTACCTGTGCTAAAATGACTTCTAAATTTAGCAGAACATACATTTCCAGTTCTAGTTTCTCTTTTTTAAAGTAAGGAAAAGCACTGATTTGCTTTCTAGCTAGAAGTTAGATAAGAAGATCAATGCCACTCTCATGTCTGTCAGTTAAATGGGCGTTAAAGCGTTTTTAGCTTAGATAATGTGATGTATTATAGAGTATATTTTATATGTGAGCTAGACTCATATTTGACTGGATATATTTATGTACATACATTTCTATTTCTTTGACACTTTTAGCATGTAACAAGGGATAAATGGATAATCAACTTAGGGAGGCAAAAACAGAGCCTTGGAGAATATCTTTTCATTGAATTGTGTTATTAATATATGGCTACTGCCAGTGACCCGGTTAGCTTAGCTTAGCATAAAGACTGGAAACAGGGAAACAGCTAGCTTGCCTCTGTCCTGAAGTTTAAAAAATGTGTGTACAAGCAGCTAATATTAAGTTAAGCTAACCCGCTGCTGGCTGTAGCTTTATAGACTATTTAACAGACAGAGAGTGGTATCATTCTTTTCATTGATTTATCCGCCAGAACGTATTTCAAAAAATGTTGAACTATTGCTCTAACAGAACAACACATTCTCACTTCAACCTCATCACATATCGACGTTTGGTCATGGACTTTCCATGTCAAGATATGATGTGAAAGATACCCTGGGCATGTTGGTTGTTGACATTCTGGGACTTCATGTCAAGTTCTGCCTGTTACATGCATTGTCTTTCAAAATACACTTCCGTTTTCACAGGAAATTTACAGTTTACATACAGTCTCTTTCAAAATAAACACTACGTCAGTACAACAACACAAATTGGTGTTTTTTTCTTTCATTGAACAACAAACGCACATGGTTAGGTTTAGGCAAAAAGAACAGGGTTTGGCTTTATAATCTTACGGGACCCAAGTGGCGCTCTCCCGGGTGAAAATCTGTGTTTGTTGGACCCATCCAGAACCTCTCCCACCTGCCCTACATGCACTTTTGCCACTGTAACTTTCGTTCTTGTCCCGCCACGTTTCCCCCAGACGCAGCTGAGCGCCCTTAAACTACCAGCTGGCCACGTATCATGCTGACGTAAAAGGACGGCTTTTTTCATCAGTGTCTGACGCCGCAAGTCAATGCCCAAGCGCCGGATTTTGATGATATTGGAGTGGGGTTGGAAAGTCTGTGGTTGTTAGACCACCGCTCACCCCAGCGGAAGTCAGACTTTTTGCCCCCTTAACCTTTGTTGTTGTCCCGTCACGTTTCAATGCCACAGATCGCCACTAGCCAAAAATGGCGACTGGTGGTAGTATGCTGACGTGAAAGGACGGCTTTTTTTCCCAGTGTCTGACAGCGTAAGTCAGTGCCCAAGCACCAGTTTTTAACGACTTCGGATTAAGACCAGGTTGAACAGAAATACTGTCCTCACTTATTGATTAGTTCTAGTCATTCGTGTGAAGCTAGCTTGTACGACAGTTATTGTGCAATCCTGTATTGTATCCTTGAATCCCACTGTCAACACTTTCCTGCATGGATGTATGTTAGTGCTGTGAAATGTACATTTTACTGAATTTATCAAGATAACAGAGAAGCGTTGGGTTTGAATTAATAGCAAGAAGTATCATCAACAAATGAAACAGATCAGAAAACAAGGTTTCTTATTAGAATATGATCAACTATAAGTCTGCCTGAAAATAAAAGTCTAGTTTTCTCTGTAGTTAAAGTAAATCATTTTGAGAATTTACAGCACTTAAAAGTGTCATAACTGTTTTGTACTGAGATCTTTCATCTTGACATAAACTAATGCTTTGTACAATGCAGCCAACCTAGATACAGTACAAAGAAGAACAAAAATGCTGAGATTTGTGATGATATGATGTCTGTCGTTTTCTCTCCTACTTTGTTCCTCTGGTCCTCTCCACAAATGTTCCAGTCAGAGTGGGAGGATCAGCAATAAAGACAGTAAATACCACTCAAGAAAAGGTCCAGGAGTCCCATGTTGTATCGTTCATTTACATGGTGGGTCTGCTTGAAAATTCATATTGATCCCTGGCCGTTCAACTCTGTCTTCAAAGTTAAAGGCTCATTGTCAAGGTCTTCAATAACCTCCATCTGGATAGGCTGCTGAAACAGTATCACAGAGACAAATTAGGGATGCAGTAAAGACACAATGACAAACTTCGACATAAGCTGTTGCTTTTGTTGTTAAAGGGAAATTTCGGTTTATTTCAACCCATCTCCTATCGTCCTAAGTTTGTTTCAAGTGACTAGTGACATAGAAATAATAGTTAGCATGTTAGCCGTTAGCCTAGATACAGCCGGGGCGCATAGTAGCGTCAGACCTGTTAAAACTTAGGGACACGGGCAACCTTCAAGTGCAAAGTTAGTCCACTAAACAAGCTTTTTTTCCACAAAGACCGCCTCATATTGTTTGGATAAATGTCAGAGAACATATAGAAAACGACATGTAAACGTGTTGTCTTACCTTACTGGTGTGCTGCCATGTTTGTTTACCATCTAGCTCTGCTTTCCAAAGCGCGGCCGAAATATCGCAAGAACAAGCAGCGATCTCATAGCATGCCTGAACAAGCAGCAACAGCTGGAAGGCAGAACCGGACAGTAGTCTGAAAAGTTCATTCATTTATTTTATGAAAGATTTATAGAATAATGGCTGACTTTTTGCCAGACTTCGACTTTGTGGAGGAGGAATTTGATTTTGCAGAGTTTGATGGCCGCCCTTATTTATTTGAGCCAGAATACACTGACGAAGAGCTTTGTGAAATTAAAGAATGGAGGAGGAGAGAGAGAGAGAGAGGCGCAACAGGTAGAGGACGAGAGAGGAGGAATGGCTGCTGCAAGGCTGCGTAGCTCTGGAGATTGGTGGTGTACCTGTGAATGCTGTGCCCCAGTGCCCACAGAAGAGGAATGCCTCTGTTGCAAGGAATGGGACCGGTTGCAGCCTTATTTTCAAGGTCTGGATGTGACTGAGGATGAGACACCTCCACCTGGAGTAGTATCCAGCTGGGCTTTATCTAGAGCTTGTGAGATATATTTCGGCCGCGCTTTGGAAAGCAGAGCTAAATGGTAAACAAACATGGCACCACACCGGTAAGGTAAGACAACACGTTTACATGTCATTTTCTATATGTTCTCTGACATTTATCCTAACGATATGAGGCGGTCTTTGTGGAAAAAAAAAGTGTTGTTTAGTGGACTAACTTTGCACTTGAAGTATGCCCGTTCACTTACATTTTAACAGGTCTGACGCTACTATGCGCCCCGGCTGTATCTAGGCTAACGGCTAACATGCTAACTATTATTTTTATGTCACTAGTCATTTGAAACAAATTTAGAACGATAGAAGATGGATTGAAACAAACTGAAATTTCCCTTGAATGAAGGAAGTCCTAAAAATGTATTGTTGAGAGTTATAACCTGGAGTTTAGTTCTCTCTGGGCTTCATCTATGGAGGTCACATTTTCACACAGAGGAGAGGAAGACAATGCACAAGGTGATTTTTGCCAAGTAGGACATGCGCCTGGATCAATATCCCACATCACATCCCACCAACATTGCAATCAACCAATCACAGCCCTCTGACATCATCAGTGTGCTGCTCCTGTGCTTCTTTCAAAATTCCTTTGTGCTTCTTTAGAGCTGAGCTAGTTTTCCAAATTGAAGTTAGTACAATTAAACAAATCCTCGGTAACACTGAACAAAACCTTATAAGCTACTGCAGGGTTAGCGAGCTTGCTAATTAGGTTGGCTATGCTAACGAGTAAACTTGCCGATAGACACTAGAATATTAGCCAGTTAGCTTGCTAACTATAGGCCATGCTAACAAGTAAGATTGCCAGTAGGCTAAAATAATGTTCACTCACATTAACAGTAAGGATAATGTTATTGTAAAGTTGCAAAGACCCGTAAAGGACACATTTTCCCTCCTTTTTAATAACATATTCAATACTATTTTTTTTTGCAAGATCACAGTACTCATGTTGATCCACATTCTCGGAACCCATCGGCTGTATTCGGCGTCTGACTTCCGGCAGACGGCGATACAGCCTCTGGGGGCAGACCCCCGATTTTTTGGCATTCCGGTTTGATTTGGGCGGAGGAGGCAAATTTCCGTTTCCGACTTCCATTTATAAGTAAATATGCGGAAACATTGCGATGGATTCAGAGTTTGCAGTGACGCCAATTATGTTCCGCCTCGTTAGTTCACCGCACAGAGCGTTTAACCTGGCAACAACTGCAGCCGGCTCAAACGTGATTGGTCAATATCACGCAAACTACAAACAGCCTACAACCAGAAACCAGGGCTCTTCTGCTCTTCTTCCAGAGGCAAGATCTCCGGGGTTTGCCTACAGACTGTATATAGAGACTAGTTGATCCAGGACCACTGCCATGTTGACCCTGGATAATTTGTTTGTTAATCCAGAACCAACATCATCATCTTTATCCTGCATAATTAGTTTGATCCAGGGACATCATTGCCACCATCATTGTCATGTAAATCCTAGAGAATTGCTGATGTTGATCCAGGATCACCACTGTTATGTTGATGTTGACATGAACAAATTATCCAAAATCAGCATGATGATGATGATGGTCCTAGATAAACCCAACCAAATCTATCCAGGCTCAACAAAAAGGAGGGAAAATGTGTTATGGACAGAAATTTGCAACCGAAAAATGCTATTATACCTACTTTTGTTAGTGAACAATATTCTAGCCTATTGGCAAGCTTAGCATAGCATGCTTACTTAGCAAACTAGCTTGCTAATATTCTTGTCTGTTGGCACGTTTACTCATAGCCATAGCCAACCTAGTTAGCAAGCTAACTCGCTAACCCTGCAGTAGCTGACAGGGTTTTTATTCAGTGTTACTGAGGATTTATGAATTTTGAAAGAAGCACAGGAGCAGCACGCTGATGATGTCAGAGGGCTGTGATTGGTTGACTGCAATATTGGTCCAGGAATGCGAAATCCCGTCATGCATAGGGAGACTGAGCACTTTGACAGTGGGGACTGTTGATGGCAGCTGTGCATGTGTACACTGCAGATCTAGTTTGTGTATAGTCCAAGAGTATAAATACAACCGTGACTGTGGCAATAAAGAAGAATGTTTGCCTTTATTTAGAATATGGATGTGTTTTGGTTATTACTGCTTACGATAGCCTAACACCCATAAACCAGCAACCAACTAGCTTACTTTTATTTTTAACAATAAAAATAAAAATAAAAACACAAAATTAAGTAAAATATGAGAGGCCTTTCCTTAAAGTCCCACACTCCATTTATTCAGCTTTAGTGCCACATTTCAAAGTGTTATCCATTTAGATGTGGTGAAATTTGAATGTTTTGTGATGTCTTGGCTTTCATTTTTATTTTCTGTTGGTTTTGCTAACAGAAAGCTGGCTAGCCAGGGTAACATGGGAAAACACAGTGGCCACAGCCCAACCTCAAGTCTCTGCTGGTTAGCTAATAGCCTTATCCACTCTGCACCCGCACACCACCAGGGTCTGGTGGGAGCTAGCTAATGGTGCCGCTAATTTGGTGATTACTGCTAATAATGCCACCCTGGGGATGGCATGGTGTTGCTGTGGTACATAGTGGCCACCCTCTGATCTCCCTCCTAGGTAGCCACACCAAGAAAGTAACTTCATTCTCAGCCACAAAACCCCTTTAGCATGTTAACACTGATTAATGATTAACTGTTAACATCCCTAGTTCAGAAATCACATGGATTACATGAATACTTTTTGCACAATACCTGAATGCTCTGCGGTTTTCCATTCTGCGCTGGGTTTCTGGGTGAGAAACCAGGATTGTGGTTTTCCTTGGGTGAAGTCTGTCTACCTCCCACCTGGCCTGCCATGCCAACGCCATTTGGTTTGTGGAAGCAGAGCACCTTCTGGAAGCTCTGCTTGAAGTTGTCAGAGAGGAACCCGTAGAGGACTGGGTTGGCGCAGGAGTTGACGTAGGTGAGGATGACCAGGAAGAAGTAGACAGCAGCGGTGGTGTTGTTCTCAGGAATGGTATGAAACAGGTTGACGATGTTGGTAGTGTAGAAGGGCATCCAACAAAGCACAAACACCAACACGATGATCACCACCATGCGCGTCACCTTACGCTCCGACTTGCGTCGCTTAGTCAGGCCTGCACGTGCACCTGCTGACCTCACCTGAAAGTGAGATGGTTGAAAAGGTTTTATGAGACTATGAGAGCAAAGCCATACAAAAAAAGCATTTAGACACCAATAAAAAGCTAGATGCTGATTCTATCTGTTTCATTACCTTAATGACAATGAGCAGGTAGCAGAGGCAGATGACAAATAGAGGACCAAAGAAGCCCAGGATGGATGTGTAGAGGATGAAGACAATAGACCACAATTCCCGTGGCTCAGGCCAGGTTATGTTGCAGGTGTTGAACTCCTCCTGTACATGTGAGTAGATTGTGACCGGCAGCACGATCAGAAAGGACACGACCCACACCATGCAATTAAAAATCTTGGCCACCTGTGGCTTCCGCCATTTGGCGCTGCGAATAGGATGAACCACAGCCAGGTAGCGATCGATGCTCATCACCGTCAGGCAAAAGGTGGAGGAGAACTGGCTCATGGAATCTGCAGTCATGCACACCTTGCAGAAGAAGTCCCCATACGGCCAGTAGGAAAGTGCACTGTTGGTGCCAAGGAAGGGAATTCCCAGGATGTAGAGTTCATCCGCCAACGCTAAATTGAGGATGTACATGTTGGTTACAGTCTTCATCTTGGTGTAGCGAACCACCACATATATGACCAGCGTGTTTCCCAGAAGACCCACAATGAAGACAATGGTGTAGACGACTGCGGTGACTGTGCTGAAGGGCATTGGCGCAGCAGCCTCTGAGGTATTGTTATAGGTGTGGTCCCTGGGGTAGGGCTGGGAGGAGGACATGCTGCCATTCTCAGATGTCAGCGTCCAGTTGTAGTAGCCGTCCATGTTGAAGGTGGGAGTGCTGGTGTCTGTTTGGATTACAGTAGGAGATGGCTCATGTGAGAAAAGAAAGACACATTTACAGTCATTACATGGGATACTTGAAGAAAACTTTGCTGATTTTAAACCAGCTCTGCGTCATCGCAGTGTGTGCAGTGTGCATACGAACAGTGTTTGGTTTTACCCTGTGCTTCCCTTCCCTGACAAATGTCTGCCAGGTGATCTGAAAAGTATCATCAAAGTCTGCCGGCAAATGAACAGGGAGTTCTGGGCAGCACGGTGGGAAGCCAGACACCGTCCATGTCGGGATGACAAAGACCCGGTTGAAAATCGCCAGAGTTTACCTTTAACAACAAGCCATGCTAAAAAAAACCATAGTTGAGTATTTTGATTGTTCTAAGACTGAATTTCTGCTCAGAGAATTCATGCTATATCTACCTTTTCCACCTTACAACACATAAACGGGAGGCTTGCTGGGCAAGATGCCCATATTTGCCAGGAGAGGAGAGGCATTTCTCTTAAGTGGGGGTTGCACTTTAGAAGAAGATGACATTAGTTAAGCAGGTTTCAAGTACTTTCAATGCCGCTGGATTAGATTCTGTCCCTCCATCATGGAGGGACAGAAACAAAAACTTGCAGCCAGGTGGCAACCAGCCGACAGCCTTACGAGCTACAGTACCACAATGATAAATATATATTAACAGTGTTAAAGTGAGTTTTTGGACCAAACCTATTCAGCAAAAGTTATTGATTTTGTAAAATACAGCACTGCAATATATTCTACCATTGCACAAATGTAATTATATGCACAGTGAGATGAAAGTTGGATCACAGTAGATAATAATTCTTGTCTCCCGAACTGGAAACATGAGTGATGGACTTCAGTTTCCATCTCACTGTGCATTAAGATTCAATAGGAGATTAAGTACACAGAAACTTAAACGACTGAGAGGATGGATGTTTGCTGTGATTTTGCTCTTGTGCATTTATGCAGTCTAACAGCAAATTGTAACTCAAGCTGAAAAAAACATTTAGCTCCAGTCGACATGTCTCTGCCTTGAATTCCTCTGAATTTGCATCTCTGCTGTTCACATCTCCCCGTTTGTTACTTTTGTTACTTTGCCGTGCACTGTGATCAATGGTGGAGAAAGTATTCAGATCTTTTACATGAGCAAAAATAGTAATACCACAGAGTAAAAATACACTGTTTCACTTAAAATTAAATCAAATTAAATTAAATTAAATTAAATTAAATCTGAATTTAGATTAAGATAAATAAAAATAAAAAAATCCTGCATTTCAAATCTTAATTAAGTGAGAGTACAAAAGTATATACTCAAAGTACCAAATGTAAAAATACTTATTAAGCAGAATGGTCCATACTGTATATACTGAATTATTATTATTGATGCTTTATGTGTACATCACTTTAATGTTGCAGCTAAAGGTGGAGCTTATTGTAATTACTTCATGAACAGTGGGGCTGCTTCATCTATGACAATTTATCTTAATTTATTAGTTGATTTTTACCTTGAATTAATAATCTAAATGTGCAAATGAGCTATATCTAAAGTAAAAATTACAATATTTTGCTCTGAAATGTGGTGGAGTATAATGTAGCATACAATGGAAATACTCAAGTAAAGCACTTAAATTTGTGTTTAAAGGTATACTTGAGTGATTATAGTGAAACTGAATGTTGATAGATTTATGGACATCTTAATATTTTTTCATGTAAACTGCAAAACAATGAATCGTCTATTAATTGAAGAGTAATCATTTTATGCATTCTGCACTTAGGTCTATAATAAAATAAAAAATAAAATATCAAAAATATCATGTTTTGTATGGGATCTCAATGTTGACAGTATATTATAGACATGAATTTTTTTTTAAATGCATTAATAAATAGCCTAAAATTAAAGCAATTGGCCAACTTGCACCATAATAATTAAATCCATGCAGCCATTGAGAGGGTGCATCTCCATATTTGTCCCCACCTGGTGCCTTGTAGGTGAACTAAAATAATAATAACCTTATAACAGTCACTTGTCAGACGTTGCAACCTGAGGCTGTGAAAATGTGTTGCACAAATAAATGGTGTGACGTGAAGATTCACTGAACCGCGCTCCAAAACACGGGAGTGACGCGCAGCCCGCAGCATGTTGTTGAGAAAACAAACACTTGAAGCCTGTGTACCCTTCAGGCTGCGTGGGGCTTGATATTTTTGTCTACTAAACTATAATAGCTGTAGCCCACAGTCATGAGATGCCTGCTGGCACATTAGATCTAAATTAGACGAATAAACCTTTAAGGCGCAGACACACGTTTGTTAGGACATAAATGACTAAAATAAAAATATTTCATGAATTCAAATGTCATTTAATTTCACACACTTATTGTTTTCTTTAAAATGCCGTGACATTCAAAGAGAGATTCATCCTACCTGTGCGCTCCTGTGCGCCTTTATCCTCTCCGCTATCCGGTGCCGTGATGCGCGTCTCCAGCGGAATTCATGCGGTTTTGGAAACGTGCGGTGATTCTGAGGTCAAAATCAACTCTCGCTTTTTTCTTTCACTTGACTTTTCATCTTGAGGCATTTTCTCTGTGTCAGAAGTCCTTTCCCAGAGGCGCAAAACCCAACATTATCTCCAGGGTTTTGCTTATAGGTCAGGTCTGAGGGAAACTGTGTGTACGTGGAGGATGCGTCCCAAAGCTGATGAAGAGTCTCTCACAGGTAGCGCCTCGACGCACTCCCGGTATATATGTGGAAAACGTCACCCCGCCTTTGGATGTTAAAGTCCCACCCATGGGTGTTAATCACCTCACAGCACAAAACCAGTCGTTGCTCCAAAAGCACAGAGTGTAGCTCCCCTTTCCTTTTCCTCCCCTGCAGAGCTTCCAGTCAATCATAAAGTGATAGCCTACTAACTTTTTCCGACTGTGTGTGTGAGACAAAGAGAGGGATGGAGCAGTGCCCAGGTGCAAACTGGGGAATAAATCACCTTGATGGTGCCTGAGGCATCTGAGACAGAGGGAGAGAAATTAGCTTGAAATGGAAAAACAGTAGAGGGAGGATGAGATTGCGCGTTGAGGGAGAGATTTGATGGTAATTGTCTGGGAAAGCTGCTACTTTAAAGCCATTAGCTTCATGTTGTTGTCATCAGATCACTGCAGCGTTAAGAACAGGCCGCAACACACAGACCCCCCCCCCCTCCCCCACACACACACACACACACACACACTTTTCTATAGGCCTAATTCATCAATGATATTTCAAAGGAATAAATTACTTATTGACTTATTCATACTTCAAAAACAGCATCAATAAGTGATGAACATAGGGGGGATCAAAATAAAATAAATAAATAAAAGTAAAAATCAACCAGCCCCCCTCCTCCCCTGACAGTCCCTTCATAAGTAATGAACAGTCCCTAAAGTGCGGTGAGGTTTGCGGGCCGTTACCTGCCACAAAGAGAGAAATGTAAACGGCTCGTTTCTCTTCTGACACATCACATACCTGTGTGCTGCCACCGCTCGGCTGTTCAGGTACTACTGGGCAGTCATTAAATCAACAAAGAGGAAATTATTGGACCTGGAGCTTCTCCGTCGCCGGTAAGCCGTTATCTTGCGCTGTATTTGACAGGAATACTGCGCCTGTGACCCCCGTTCAACCCACATTCGCCTTTAGTTTCTTCTGCTGGTTGAAATCTGTACTCGCACAGCGTGCTCCTAAATCATTTGTTTTGCATGCGCAAAACTATTTTTTGTCGCAAATGCGAGTAAAATGCTCGCACCGTAGAGCTCTGTGGAAAACAACATCACTGTAGCATATAAACAAATCTAGCCTACAATTAAAAAGAAATAAATAATAACTTTCACTGCTTAAAGATACTCAATAGCTCAGCTAATACCTGACATGTCACTGGATACAAACCACCGCAGCAGCATATTGAGTGCCAGGTGGCCACCGCGTGCCGTTATTGGACGGCGCATGGACACTCACCCTCTTGCAATTGGACTTTGAACTTATGCCACAGTAGTGGTACCTGAGGTACCATAGTACAGTACTCCAACAATGTTAGCGCGGGTGGCAACCAATCATGCGGTACAATGAGCCACTCATGTCTCGTGTTTTTGGCCAGGGATCAGGTACAGAGAGGTGTGTGTGCAGTCATGCGCCGAAATGTGTGTGTGTGTCTGTGTGCATGTTTACAGTACTCAAATCATGCGTTTTCCGTCAGTCCGAAGCATCAAAGGGGGTTAAGAAGGGACAATGTGAAGTTGATGACGTCCAATACTTTGCGGGTCCTGTCGGACTGGTCCTAACCGGGCCAAACGTGCAGAGACTTTTGAGTATATAAGTAAACACTGTCTCACAGCTGTGTATAGAGGCTTGCCCTGCGGGGACAGCCGTGTGGAGTGACTGCCAGGAAAATGATAAGGCTCATTTATATTGTGTTTTCTCGATGCCAGCTCCCATTTTCAAGGTTAAAACGACAAGAGTCATAAAATTTCAGGTGTCCAAACTGTATAACGGTTACCTTGTTCACTGAAGAGATCAACAAAAACTGTTGGCATTACAGAAAGCGTACCAAATGCACTGTAAAGATGTTAAACCGGACAAAAGGGTACACTAACTAAGCATAAAAAAGAGTTAATTCCCTCATCGGCCACTCATGACACCAGCTAAGATTCATTGTTCCTCTGCCAGCTAGTCTTGTGTGCATTATAGCTTCCCAGCCTTTTGTTTGCTTGACCTTCCTGTTTTGGACCTTATTGCCTGACCTCTGGATGTGGATTGCCTTTCCTGCCCCTTGTTGGTTTTGTTTGCCTGTTCTGGACTTCCACTCTGGTTTTGACCCTTGCCTGCCTTTGCACCTTATTTTTGGCTGGACCCCAGAGGTGAGGCCAGCCCAATACGCAAAAATCCACCCATGAGTTAGTGAGTGAGCGAGTGATGAAGTTGCGTCATTGGTCGGACTAAGTGATGACGTGAGTGTGGATTGTACCCCTGCATATGTAGAAACAGTTGCAGAAAGACTTTTGTGTCTCCAGAGAGACTCCCTCTTTGTACCGTGAGGTTGCTGCCAGCTTCACTGTGTGCATACTGACTTTTGCCAAGTAGTAATGCAGTTCTCTAAGCAGGGTTTAGAGGCATATGTTGTATTAAGTGGTACTGAATTAATTAACTGGATTGTTTGAACAACAGGATGCATTGATTTCATTGATTACTTGTAATGTGAACTGTAAAAACACACACAAAGTTGCTCTGCTGCTTTGCAATGCCTCTGACACAATTTATTTTAATAATTTTTTAACAGATTGTACTCACTTTTCTTCTCACTGTGTATTTTTTATCTGTTGGAGGGTTACTGAGCCATGCGTAATGAGTGTCAGTGTAGTGGCTTTAGTTTATCAGGAGGCTGCGTGCTGCAGTAGACATGTTGTAAGACTTGAATTACAGAAAAGTGATTGCCGATCACTTACGGTAGTTCTACATGAAAAATATATTGTATACTGTACTGAGCTTGAGACCAAGAGGGTAACCACCAACATCATGCCTCTCAAACCCCAGGAGAAGTTCCAACGGTCTGCAGTGTTTGTGCGGGAGGGAGAAAAAGAAGTAGCAAGCTTCTTGCCTCATGATTCAAGCCTGCTACATGGAGCCAGAACTTGGAAATGTGCGCTGACTTGGACCAGCATCTCATAGTTCCACCCGTGAGTGCAGCAGCCAACTTACGACCAGACCTGGCCCTCTGGTCATGTCAGCGTGCTTTCCTCATGGAAATAACTGTCCCTTGGGAGAGATGCCATGGAGGAGGCCTTTGAATGCAAGAGTTAAAGTTAAAGTCCCACTGATTGTCACACACTGACTGAGTGTGTGAAATTTGTTCTCCGCATTTGACCCATCCCTTGAGGGAGCGGTGAGCAGCAGCGGTGCCACGCTCGGGAATCATGTGGTGATGTAACCCCCCTGATGCTGAGTGCCAAGCAGGGAGGCAATGGGTGACATTTTTATAATCTTTGGTATGACCCGGCCGATCGAACCCCTGACCTCCCAGTCTCAGGGCAGACACTCTACTGCTAGGCCACTGAGCTGGCAAGAGATTGTGTCACACTGACCTCCTAAGTGAAGCGGTGACTAGAGGCTGGAAAGCTGAGATGCAACCGATCAAGGTGGGTTGCAGAGGCTTCCTCGCTTGATCCACCACGAGTTTCACCGCCTTTGATTTATCTCCCTTCTCCATGCACCTTGAAGGAAGGTGAAGTTGCTCCAGAAACCCTCAACCTGCTTCTACAGTAGACTGTAGTGCAGGCCCAGTGCTCTGTATCATCAAATCAGAGTACTTGCTACTTTATGCAATAAAAACAGAAGGACTGTCCTGATTGTAAACTAAATGTTTCAAAAAGTGTTAAAATGCAGTCCAAGCTGAAAAGTCCAAGGCACTCCAGGGTAATATTAAAAATCCTTTATTAAGCACAGGGATATCAACGCGTTTCGACTCAACGAGTCTTCATCAGGATATGAGCTAGTCAAATTACAACCAGGTGTTTAAATCATATTAGGAATGTGTGAAAAGCTCATGTGACTGGATCATGTGACAAATCAATCAGCCTATGCTGAGAACAGAAAGTTTGTATAAATGACAATTGTATGACTGTGTGTGAATCACAGCAATCGTCAGAATAATGAATACAAATACAAAATTTATACACGTGTGACTGTCAGATTTCAACAACAATGAATAACAAGACATTGATGCAGAAATGTATAAATAACAACATCAAAGGGTCCTGTGACCAGCCGTTCAGAATACGACCAAAAGAAGAGACAGGCAGGAGTAGCAACAACAAAGTTTAAAACATCATAAAAGGGTTGTCAAGTAGAGTGTACATAAAAACTATTACAAGACAGCCAGCACACAACATGTGCAAAGGACCATTGGTACGTACAAAAAACACACAAAGTATACTCAGTGCCAAAAAGGCTGTCTACAATAAGCAGAAGGGCAGGGAGACTAAATTTAGAGGGACAGTCCTACTGCATATCCAAAAAAAAGAAAATATTTAAACAGAATATTTTATAACAAAGACTAGCAGTAACTAAATGATCCATGTGACCCTGCAAATAAACAAATAATTCATGTCACTTTAAAGGAGCAATAAGCGAAATTCATCATTTCTAGATTGAAGGAATTAAAAAAATTGCTATGTGAAGAACTAGAGGTGTAATTTCATCTGGAGTAGGCTATAGCATGACCTCACACACCCTCTCTCTGTGTTGATCTCCAGCCCATTGTTTACAAGTCGGCTGTGTGTTCATGTACGTTCCTGTAATAAATGCAATATGTTTGCTGAAATGGAGGCGAGGCTCAGTGACTAGAAGAGCTGGTAGAAGCGCTCCATAGCTGTAAGTTACTCCAGTAGCCGTAGTAGCTCTAGTGCTAACTCCAGGAGCTAACGCTAACGTCCCTACTCTGCGTGAGCCGGAGCCATGAGCCGCGGGCTCACAGAGAAGAGTAGGAACGTTAGCGTGGCAGCCGACTAGTGCTAACGCTAACAGGAAAGCAGGAAAATAACTAAGCACAGCAGAGACTAAGAGTGAGTGAAAGACATTGCTAACTGCTAAACTAAGTTGGCTGTTTAGGTTTTATTTCCTCGCCCTGTGGCAAGTGAATCTGCCTGTAGTGAAACCGGGGCTAACCGGTGCTTCC